GAGCACTTTTACAACAAACCAAAGCACTTTTACAACAACTTAAGCTTCCAACTAGTGCAACTCTGGTTCGGCAACTATCGCAAGCGCAACAACAAACGGACGCAAGCGCTGATTGGTGCGCCAGCTCTGAAGAGCGCAGCGCTTGCGAGCCGAGGCCAATGAGGGCACTTGAAATCATCGCAAAAGCCTTCGGCCAGAGACTGGCGGTTGGTTTGCTTTAAGCGTCAAGTGCGACTTTTGAAAATTGTCTCGACTTGCGACGCGCGCGAGAAGAGATGGAACTTGACGGTTGGTTAACTACAACCTGGACAGGCCCGATGTGGACCAGAAGCGTGCTGAGAAGGGCTGCAGGAAATTGAGCCCAAGAGCTATGAGACAACGTCTTGATACGGCTGGGTGGAAGCGCGGAAGAGTTTCAGTCGCTTTGTCAGAGCGGGCAAGGCCGAGGGCGGCCGTCGCAACACGCGAAGGAATATATCAGACTTCGTCGCGGCCTCTGTTGGCTGCTCGCATTTAATTGCTGCCGATGGAAGCCCGTGAGCGGGGGCAGCTCTCAAAGCAAAAGCGCGAATCGCCGCGCCGGGCATCATGCACCCACGCTTCATGCTCAACGCCGCATTTCTCTAAAAGCTGCAGGTGACCATTCAATTTTTGGACTTTGGATTGCTTCTCAAAGCACGCGTCCCTGTGCAGTCTATAAAAAAAGAAGATTCCCCAGGACTCGCTCCGGGTCCTTGGCGATGATGTCCTCACGGCGAAGTGCTGGCTATGGTCATCGTGCCGTCCCCGTGTGCATTCGTCGCTGACGCAAGCTTGCGCTGATGTCACCTCACTGACGCCGAGAACCGCAATCGCTTCGATCGATCTACGTGGGTTGCGTCTGATGGTGCCTGACTACATTGCGGCGAATTCGCCAAGCGGCGAACTGCATCTGGGTGGATTAGGCCCTATGGGCGATTTTTCCGACCTCCTTTGCCAAGGAGTCGTTGAAAGATAGACATCGCCGGCCTGTCGGAACTTGAAATGGATGTCGCCGCGATCGGCTTTGCCTGCAGGCATCAGGGCCCCCGCGTTCGCCTCAAAGAGGCGCATCTCCCTGAAGAAGATTTGATGGACAGCCGACTTCTCCAGCGCAAGCCAGCAAAAAACCAGCCACTAACATGGAAGTTCATGAAGCTCCAGGATTGGGAAGCAGGGGCAGGGACCCAGGGATTGGGAACATCCAGGCTCCGCATTTGAATTCAGTTCTTGAAGCTCAATACATTGGCTCAAAACATTTGGGAGCCAGTGAGGGCCCACCCCAAGGGTTCAACCTCTCTTTTGAGTGGTCCATGCCATAGCAGATTGGGTGTTCACGCATCCTTCTGTCTGTGCCAGGCATACTTCCGCTGCGAAGGGAGTCCTTCATGAATCCCACTTCTTGGGGCTTTGCAGTCCTTCAGGTGCCTGCTGGCACTAAGGAGGTTTCTGCGGTACAGCGTGCCTATCGAGCGTTGATGAGGCCAGGTGAACCGGTCGAGCGAGATTGGAGATTGGAGTTCTGAAAGCACTTTCGTTTGGTTGATACCGAGACGGTCAGACTGGGTGAAATGGCTAACAGTGGTTTAAGGGTTGACTAGCTCATCACCTTGAATTTGTACCATGCCAAACGGCGGTTTTTCATCAAAGAGCCAAATACTGACTAGTGTAGCACAAATGATGCGTATCACAAAATTGATCCGCATGAAACATAGGTTTCTTAAACACCAATCCTGGACAAACACTAGTTAGGACAAAATACTTTATTGATATCAATCATGTTTTTGCTTTGGAAACATGTTGCATGTTTGATGCTGTTTCATTGAACAACGCCATCCAATCACCGTCAATCACCCATTCGATGCGCCAAAACACAGACATGCTTAGTCGTAGACCCCAAATATTTGATAACAAATGCTAGTTTGCATCCGGCTATGTTCCGAACTGTACATCCATTGCTCAAATAACCATGTGGAAAGAACCCACGTGTTTTTTCCGTCAGCTAGCGAACGCTTGGTGGAGGAAACTCCATCCAGATCGGGCCGGAGTGTCAGAGGATGTGGTCAAAGCAGTGGAGAAGGTCAGAGAGGCCTTGAGAAGGACATGGAACTTTCACTGACTTGTAACCACGGAAACTGGAAGTGAGGATATTTGTTTTTTGAAGGCGATTTCTATTTTGCCAGTGGATTCCAGAGTTTCGTTGTTGTGAAGGATACATCCCAAGTCATCCAATCCAAATGGCATCACAGAGCTGTATTTTGCAGATGTTTGTTGCAAGTTGTTGCAAAATCCTTGTTGGTGAGAACTTTGACAGGCCAAAGAGGCTTGCGAACGTGGGCTCTCTCGCCAGGAACCGTGCAGTGCTTAGGGTTTGGTTCACGGTTTAGCTCAAAGGCTACAGCTTCGAGAATCGCGAGGTTTTGGTCGTTGGTGAGTCATAGTCACTTGGGTTTGAGTCAAAACCCAACTGCAGAGACAACTGTGGCCGTCAACATACAAGGAGCTTTTCGCCGTAGTATTTGCAATCAGGCCGGAACAGCCTAGAGAGCTACGCTCGGCTTGCCCGGCCTTTTTTCATTCAGACCATGTCGACATTTTGCCAACCCGATGCCCCTAGTAGCGTTCTTGCTCCTAGTAGCGATGCCCTTGGTTCCTAGTAGCTTCTTGTTACTAGTAGTGAGGCCAGGAGCCCCCAGTAGCCTTGCTCCCAGTAGTAAGGCCAGGAGCCCCTAGTAGAGTCCTTGCTCCTAGTAGTATGGCCAGGAGCCCCTAGTAGCGTCCTTGCTCCTAGAAGTAAGGCCAGGAGCCCCAAGTAGCGTCCTTGCTCCTAGTAGTAAGGCCAGGAACCCCGAGTAGCGTCCTTGCTCCTAGTAGCGATGCCCTTGGTTCCTAGTAGCTTCTTGTTTCTAGTAGTAAGGCCAGGAGCCCCTAGTAGCGTGCTTGCTCCCAGTAGTATGGCCAGGAGCCCCTAGTAGCGTCCTTGCTCCTAGTAGTAAGGCCAGGAGCCCGTAGTAGCTTCTTTGTTACTATATTCTGGTGAAGCACTTGATAGAATTCTTCTGGATTGCTCAAGTGATCCAAGATGCCAGGAAGTTGTTTGCGCTGCTGCTGGACGAAGGCGGTTCAAACTTAGTCCGGGCCTAAACAAATTAGACCATCACAGGGCTACTGGTACTTGTCGAGTAGGTTTTGGAATTGTTTGGGACCTAATTCTTCCAAATGATCCTAATTTGTATGTTGGAATTACCCAACAACAGCTCTCCAGGGATTCCCTTGATATCATCAACCCCTCCAACCACTGTTTATTCTTTTGGGGTTCTTGCTGTACCTGTGCGAATACCGCGTGCTTGGTACCTTTATCGGCCCAGCCGCAAGTTCCAAGACAACTGAGCTTCCTGAGTTGGAGTCAGTAGTATCATTACAGTGCTTGCAGAGTGACCGGCTCGCCCCAACGAAATGACACCATGTCACTGATCTCACGACCTAATTACTGATGTATATGCAGTACATGTCATTTGTGGCGCCAAGCAACGCCGGGTCGCAGTGCAACAACGACCAAGATTCCGATCATGTGCCCTCGATGTAGCTGTCCGGAGGGTCTGAAATGACGCCACAAGCATGGCAGCAAAACTTGTAGCAGCTTCTTCCACCACGACTGGCTGTAGTAATTTGAATTGTATAAACATTTTTAGTTTTGGGACAATGACACTGCCAATCCCTCTCCTCAACGTGCCCAAACACTTGTCGGTGAAGGGGCTTCTGGTCATTTTGCTAGAGGGGCTTGCGGGTGACCAGGGCAATTTGAATCCACTTGATTGTATCCCTTTTCCTTGTCATTCGGCTGATTCATGTCCGTGATTCGTGTCCTGACACTCTTTGGGTTTGAACAGACACAATCAATATGCAGCGACGGACAATCACTTAGTTGTGCTGGTGCTAGTGTTCCTGAGGCCTATTTTGTTCAAAGTGTAAGTCTTGTGTCCTAACTGTAGGCTCTTCCGCTTTTAATCTCTCTGGGGGACACAGTGGTTGCCCGTCACCAAAACACTTTCTAAGCACCAAACATGTAGATAGAACAAGCACCAGCACATTTTCTAAGTGATTGCCCGTCACTGCACATCATGTCATTCGTCCACCAATGCCTGAGGTTGGACAGCGCCAGCTGAAAAAGATTCTGCGCATCACCCTCAGATCAGCCCTGTCAGCAGACCAAGCAAACCCATTTCGTGAGGTGGGCTTGTATGTTCTTCATTATATATATAATTATATATATATATACATACTAGTCCACAATTGTAGCGAGAATTGACTCTACCTTGCGTGCACTAGGCCTATCCGCAGATATGTGGTTGCAGCGCATGATCCTGCGTCAGCCTAGGGCAGAAACAAATGTGCAGGGATAGGATATGAAGTCCACCATTTTTGCTCTGCTGTTTCTTGGAGTCACCTCCAGTTGTAGAAGCTTTTGTATGTTTGTGAAGTCAGTAGCCAACCACACAAAACTCCACAATACTGACATGGTCGATGCTGCATCTTGTTGGCCAAACCATGGAAAGCTTCAGATTTCAGATAAACATGTGCTTGGAGGTATGGACGGGCATTGACAATCACTGTCTTGGAGCCCGACTACAGTGAGGACTCGACAAAGCCACTCGTTGACTCGTGGTGCATGGTGAGGTTCATTCTGCGAGTCGTAGCATCAGGAGTTGCGCAGCTTTGTGGCGATTGAAGACCTCACGTCCTATGCTCCTTCTTTGCAATGCATATTCTTATGGGGGAAGAAGGAACTTGAGTGAGAGCAAGGGTTGCTGATATTCCACTTGGATATTCACTGATATTCACTGTGGTGATAATTGTTTCCGTTTGATAACGTATTCCAAAAAACTGCAGCTCCAAACACTATGTCTCAAGGTCATGGCAGAGGAGGACCAGGGCACACTGCTTGTCATCAGTTCGTGCAGCAATTATGTCGCTCCGCAACCCAGAATCATGGCAAATTCTGCAAGTCCTTGCACGAAGAGTTCGTGAACGCCACCGTGTTGCAGGATTTGCAGAAGATGCCGAAACTTTGGACTCAGAGCGCCCTGCAAGTGCAGGTCCCTTTGGCTGGAACATATACTGTACCCATGCTAGGTCAGAGGGTCATTGCAGGTTGAGGCTGTTGGGGGCAGTGCTGCGTGACACATGTCAAAGGCCTTTGTCAGAACTTCCGTTTGGTGATTCGGCTTGGCATGCCGAGCTGTTTTTGGTTGTTGCTATGGTCTAACAAGGTTACAACGCTCCCAGCAACAGCTACTGGTTGGAGCTCGGTCTTTGTCCAAACAGACCCGAAGAAGAGGTATTTTGTCAAAGTTGTGACAGGTGGCTGCTGCCAACGAAGCCGGCCAGTCCAAATGGACGACGCTCAAGGCTGGAGATTGACTTGCGCTGACTTTGATGAATCAGCTATTAATGATGTTTTTTGTTGAGGCGACACTTTCACGTAGATTTCAAGTCAAAACCACAGTTTTCGTTCTTTTGCCGCCAAAACTCAAAGTTTGAGGGGAGCCAATTAGTTTTTTGCCCACTCTCATGTCATTCGTTTTTGATCGCCGAAACACTGGCGACAGCTGCGCAGATCCCACTCACCGGCGCATTGGCGGGGATCGCCCTTTCAGCGCCAGCGCCGCCGGTGATCTCTCCACCTGGTCTGGGTGGTTCTCGGCCTCCTGGCCCAGCCGGTGGCTTTACCAGTGCGGCCACCATGCGGAATAGGACCACTGCGCTGGGTGAGAATGATGTTGCTGCCTTCGACAAAGAGCTGTTCTAGACTCAGTTTGAAGGATTGTTCAGCTTAGAGCAGAATCTAATTTTTGGGTGCAGACAGATGTGTGGTGGCAATTCCAGCGCATGTTGGCTTTCTTGCGTTTCAGGCGAAAGCTCAAAGGGCATGCGCGCTTGAGAGCCTTCTTGGAACCCCACAAGAAGAACATTCTTCAAGAGTGGTTGCGATCCGTGAACTGGTCTTCGATGGGTTCCAAGCAGGAGACTTTAGCAAGTTTTGGATCGGCGCTTCCACTTGTTTAGAATAAGATTTAGAATATCATTTTGCATTGCTTGTGGCTCTACTTTCTTTTCTTTTTGACAGTGCTCCTAGACCCATCCAAGGCCTACGCTGTAAAGTAGATTTGAATATATTTGAGACCCCTATTACATATATTATTTTTTGATATGCAATGTAACATATTCTTTTACTTGCAGAAGATCAACTTGTACCAGTTCCCTGCTAAGCTATGCCTTGGTTTGTGAACTTTTGCCTTCGAACTTTTTGCCTGCCCTAGAGGACCTTGTGGAGAGAGTCATTTTCATCCGTGAGGCGATGGTTTGTTGAGCACGGCTGGCTGGGGGGGTTGGCTTGGGGGTTGCCGAGATTCAACAACAATTTGCCGGCTGATGGCATCAGGAAGTGGACACGATCACTACAGTAATTGAAGTGTTTGAATGAATGGAAGCAGCTGGCAACCTCCAATTGCAAGTGTCACTGGGAGCCGATTTATGGGGAACCATCGGCGAAGCGTTCTGCGCTCCAGCAGTCCCTTCCTCGACTGCAAGTGTTCAGTCAAAATTGCCGATGCTTTCCAACTGCACGCTTCCATACCGCGAGCAAGTCCTGTCAACGCATATTTTACTTCTCCATTCAAACTGATACTTGACCATTCAAGACCATCTCGGCTGAACGAACACTGCACGAGTTGAGCAACCACACATGGAACAAGTGCAACAAGTGAATCTTGCTTTAGACCATCGGACGTGTTGAACACCACAATGAAGGTGTGACGGACAGTTAATTGATGTGACTCACTGACTCACTGAACACTTGATTTCTTACTGTATGACTGTATGATCTATTTTGGACGGCACCCGGAGCATTTGATTCTTTTCAATTTTCAACTGGCTGACATTATAGCTAAGAACATGCATCTTCCATAGTTCAAATTTGGACCCATTGGCTTGATAAGCTTGCTCCACCTTATTTTGTTCAGGAGTAAGTTTTGAAGGCTGGTTTCCGGGTTTGTGACTGCATGGCCCGGACTACATGTCCCTGTTGCCATGGCTGCCGTGGCTCTTGCTAGCAGCACGAGGGCAGCCAGGGCCGCAAGGGCAGGAGTTTCCCAAGGCCAAACTCAGTCAGTGATCAAACTGCCGAAAACCACTAAACCACTGACTGATCAGATGGACTGACCAAACATGCTCATCAGGGACTGCTCGTCATCGAGGGAGATGCCGCGCAATTTGTGGATCGCCATATGGTCCCTGGGCTGAAATTCAGTGGCGAACAAGCGTGCTTGCAGAGGACCTTTGCATCAATCACCGATCAATGTCACAACCGGTTGGAGCCATTTCATTCCCTTGGCTCTTTGGGGAAACCGTGCATGCTTTGTTTTTGTTTGATGACTCGAAGGTAACCCAAAGCCACCAAGTTAGATGCTGCATGTGTCACAGAGTTACTAGTCGCTCAGTGGCATGAACTTCGCTCCGGTGCCAAGGAGCCCCGCCATGCTGTGGCCGTCGCCACTGTCCCAAAGGGCTCAAAGAGGCACGACCTCCTGGCAGATTTGGCAGAAGACGAGGCAGATTTTGCACGAACGGCGAGATGCAACGTTTCCTACATCAGCTGCATGTTCTTCAAGTGCACTGATCAAATACCATTTGAATTTCAATCGTATCAGCGCTATCAGCATTAGGACTTGAGACACCTCCTTGCCATTGGAGTGACCTTTGCGAAGGGCAGGTCTGCTCAAGTCTTGCATTCTTCATTGAGTAACCAGTATCAGTACCCAAGCAACTTTGCATACTGTCACAGTCGAGCATTTTTCAAAACATGTGAATTTGATCCGGTATAAGACCAAGGTAACGAAAACACGTAATCCTGTTTCTTTCTCCAATTGTCCTTTTTTACGAATGGGGGCAAGGCTGACAGCTGATGGATTTCTCTGCCGGTGCAAAGTAAGACATAGAAAGACATATGCCGCATGAGTCTGGTGATTCCTAGTAGCGTCCTTGTTACTACTAGTAAGGCACCTGTTACTAGTAGCGTGGCACTTGTTCCTAGTAGCTTCTTGTTACTACTAGTAAGGCACCTGTTACTAGTAGCGTGGCACTTGTTCCTAGTAGCTTCTTGTTACTACTGGCACAAAAGTAAATATGCCGCATGAGTCTGGTGATGATTTGCAGGACTTCTCTGATGGCCGAGATCTCAAGCCAGGGCACTTGCCACATGTGGTTGTCGCGAAAGACTCGTGTGCTTGCAAAGAAAAAACAATATATATATATGCATGTCTGGAATTGAAAGGCAGAGATGCCAAACCAAGACTTCAGACTTCAGTTGTTGCTAAAGTCATCAATTCAGTTTTGGTGACTTCCAGCAGATCAAGCTTTCTTCCAAGGTTCAGAGATACCGCTATGATCGGCTACGGTATGAGGGCAAGTGGATGCTAGACTAAGACTCAGCTCGAGGTTGGTCAGCGAGTTGTGAGGTGTTGCGTGGGATTGCAGTATAACTCAATGGCATCCCCAAGCTGCTAAAACATTAGTTGTTTCTCTCCAGTGGGTATTCCTTGTTACTACTAGTAAGGCACTTGTTACTAGAAGCGATGCACTTGTTCCTAGTAGCTTCTTGTTACTACAAGTAAGGCACTTGTTACTACTAGCTATTGAGTTGAACCCACCGGAGAGGATGTCTTTGTTTTCCAAGGACCAAATCAGCGATCTTCTCGTGGCTACAGGAGGTGGCCTATCCACCTGTGAATCACCTGCCACAGTTTGCTCCCACCAAGTTCCTGCCAGATTCTGAGAGCAACACACAGGTAACTAGAGTGACCTGATCGGAAAGCGGGACATAAGTCTTTGCCGTCGCTTTTGGAAGGTCCAAAGGGGAACACCAGTGGATTGCCTGTCAAGTCACGGGTAATTATTACGTGCATGTGGCATGTTTGCATGTTTCTGCACAAAAACACTGGCGACCCGACGTTCATAATTAATTACATCATACATCATAGATTCATATATAAAAGTTCTGGATGAATACCGGTACAGGCAGAAATCTGAGGAACTTTCTGCCTGAAACATCATGCATATGCACACATTAGCCACCAAGTGCCGGATGAGGCAATGCCCCTTTTTTTCGTGAAAAATGCAGAGAAGAAAAGAAAGCTTCTTGTTACTACCCAGTGAAACGATTCCCAGTGAAACGATTCCCAGTGAAACGATTCCCATAAAGTTCAGATTTGTCCAAGCTTCAGCAACATTCCCACTCATTGGAAGCCGCTGGCAATCTCCCGACATTTCACGATGACCTTCCACAAGCCTCGCAAGACTGGCCCACCCTTGCATCCTATTCTGAACTTTCAACATTTGCAGCCTTGCGGTTGTAGATGCAGCCACGCCGCCGCCTTTGAACAACAAATGAACTAGAGTTGTGAGAACAACATTCGTTGATTACTTTGCTTTCGCAAGCCTTGAGCTCCTGCCTAGTTCCTGTCTGCTGGGAGGCTTATGTAACCGACCCGCTAGAGACTTAGACTCAAATTGCCCAAACTCTACAAATGAGGACCCCCGGGGCGTGTGACTTGCCCAACAGGTGGCCCAAGGATTCTGTTCTGGCTGCGTGTGTAAGGACCAAGAATCCCTTCAGCATTCTGCTGGTCGTGAAACCTGTGGGCACCCATGGGCCTGAGCTAGCAAAGGCGATTTCAATCGTCCGGCATGTTTGAAGACAATTCAGTTGCTTTTCGCAACTTTTCACTTTGGTTGAAGAACAACTGGATTGCTGGGGAATTTCTTTTTGACATTTTTGTTGACTCCCTTTTGCACATGGCATGTCAGCATCCTGTGCATCCAGTTATCAAAGATGCGGCAAAGAGGCTTTGGAGCCTCATGCTGCGCGGCTTTCTCGCAGACTGAAGGTGGATCTTTCTCATTCAAAGAAAGACTTGATCAGAAGCATGATGGCGAATGCGAATAAGCAAGCAAAACAGCCACAACAAGGGTGCAGACGTATGCATTGTTTAGATGAAACACGCATGCAGGTTTGGCAGTTGCAGGCAAATTTAATCAAAACCACATGTATGTCTTGCAAGTTGCATATGGTTGCATGATTGCTAGCGAAGCTCCATACTTGGAATTGCTCTGTGGCACAGCTTCGTTTGTGTAGATAGATGTCTTGAAGTGGAGTAGCTCAGTACAAATTCACGAGGGCAGGTTTGCCAGGCATAAACATGTTAGCCTGTGCAAACAAGTTGTGTGAAGAAATGATGAGGAGACGGAGGATTGCAGCATAGGAGGTTCTGTGGTGCAAAGAGATTTGAGAGGGGAGGACAAGGTCCTAAGGTGATCATTTTTTGGCCAGATCCCACCAAAAAAGGACACTCACTACCTTTGTACATCTATACACACATGTACAAGTAACATGCGATGGAATTCGTGCAGCGTACACTGTACACCATGAAACTTGAGTTTCGTCATATTGCAAATAGCTGCCCCGGACTGGTGCGCAGGTCTCGTTCTTCGCTAAGACCCCCGCTACGCAGCAGTTGTGTGATATCTATGGCGCTGCCCTGGCTTGTATTTGCCACTTCCAGCTTTCAGTGGCACTTGCAAACAGAAGCAAGGGCATGGAGGGTATGGCCCATGGCATGTAGTACGGTGATGTGGGGTGTATACTCTGGTGTCGTGATCCTGCTCAATTGTGTTTGGATTCACAGGTACGAACATCCGACGAGTTTCTCCTCATAGAGGCTCCCCAGGAGCTCGAAGTCTTCGTGGATCAGCGTCACTTTATGGGAAACCAGACGTTCGAACACCGACTTTTGTATTTTTTAGCGCGCCCTTAATTAAGTAGACTGATTCTTTCCAATTTGCAAGGAGATGTCCCTGAAGAAGCTGGGTCACAGTCATGTGCCCAGGTCGCCCAAATACCGTGTTGAGGCAGAGACTCCACGCTTAGTCCAAGAATGTCCAAGATGTCTCCCAGAATGCCTTGTCTTCTGGGCTTTGCGACAATCAACGCTTCAAGATTTCCTTGGCGCCAGAACGTGACAGCTGGAGACGTTGACCGATTCTTCTATGATTATGAGTCAGGCACTGCAGATGTCCAGATGGCAGACGACGTTCTTCTGATTTTGTAACGTCCAATGCAAAATCTGATGCGCTTCTCCAGCCTGCGCCCCAACCAGGGCTATTGCCCAGATACCTGATGTCTTACAAAGAGACTGAGCCTCAGCGACTACCATTGAAGGTTGTACATCTTACCAAGAGAGTGATAAGAACATGATGTAACTTGCCCACGTTCCAAGGACTAAGATGTCTAATCTTGAAGGTTTACGCGAGCTGACAGGTGCCACTGAGAGTTTGCGTTGCCTTGTGAAGACTGCAGTCTTGGGCTCGCTGGCTCTAGACGTTTTGTCATAGGACACATCCGAAAACATCCGAAAACCTTGAAAGAGTGTGAAACAACACCCAACCATCAACTGATTCTTCCTGCAGGTGAGGATTTCATCCAGGCGGTCCAGAATCCGCAGGTTCGTCCGGGAACGGGAAAAAGAGAACGGAAAGAGTATAGGAAAAGTGTTTTCAGATTTGGTCCGAAGACTTCGTGTGCCTGTAGAATCGGAGAAAGACAGGCCTCTTCGAGAAGTCCGTTTCTGACGGATGTGACCAACCTTGGACCGAGCACAATGAACAATGAGACCTGACACGGTACAAGACCAGCCAAAGGAGAGTCGGGCACGGTCTCCGGAGTGATCTGCCGGGGGGCGTCCCTCTTTGCTCCCAAAGCCCAAAGGGCCTTGCCAAAGGGCCTTTCTTAAGATCCGCACTGAAGGAGTAAGGGGCGAGTTTTTGAAGTCTGGCAAGTTGCAGTCGGAGCCAGTCGGAGCAAGCCACGCAACGCATGCTCTTCAGCCAGGCCTCTGTCCTTGTAGAATTTGTGAGTATCCCAGATGCAAGGAGTAGAGGAGACCTTGGACAGCCGATTTCGGGTGTTTGGTGTTCGCCACTGCCAGATTTGATCAAGAAAAGGTGGCTTTTGCCCGCGTTTGCCACTGTGAGAATGCAAAACTACAAAACTGGAAGATACTGTAAGGTTGGGAGTATCAGTTCAACACCAAGATGAAAACAGGTTGATCAGATAGCAGTTGCTGGATTGCATTAGGAACAATAGGTTTTGGAGAATGGACATGAAGCAATCAAGCACTTCTTGGCACTTTCCTTGCAGCGATTGGCATTCAGCTCATTCAGTACGTTTTGACGGGCAGTGCTTTGGCGGCGAAAGAAAAAGAACACTGCCCTTATCTGAGGTGAGAACTGCGAGGCTTGGCCCAAATCTCTTGTTGTCGTGGCCCGGCGGGGGGGTAGGCCGTAAGAGGTAGCGGCTTAAGTAAGCTCCTAGTAACTGGACGCAGGATAGCTCACGCTTCTTCAAGGAAGCTGTCCCCCGCCCATAGATGGGGGGAGCTTCGTTGAAGAAGCGCTCGCACTAACCATTTGGTTCCTAGATTTTTAATGATTTTTAGACAAAGGGCACATGCCATCACTTAGATGCCATTGCTCAGCAAATTTCGTTTTAGAACTGCTCCGGTGTGGCCAGGCCTGCAAGGAGTTCGACGCAGCGTACCGCGAGGTCGAGCACATGTTGTGAGTCGTTTATTGCAGAGAGTTTGGACAGATTCCCCCAGCTGCACCTGTTTTACTTGCACATAGAGGTGCAGTGAAAGGTGTAAAACTCCGTCCATTTTTTCCGCGCGACTTTCTACAATCCAGGTGGCGCGGAAGGTGCAGCAACGCAGCTTGCTCCGCCAACGGCACCCTTCAATGTCCAGTACCTGGTGTCAGATGAAACTGATAACCACTGATGCGAAATGGATGGACTGTGGCAACTTCAGTGGTTCCTGATTCCAAGAGAGAAACATTTGATAAACATCCTTGTGTTCCTTTCTCGCCCAAAAGCCGAGCGTGAACATCATCCAAGTCCGAGCGTTTCCTTTGGAGGTGTGTTGGACGTTCCTCAGGTCGCAGGTGATCATTGCAAGAATGGACCAGTCCGGATCCCGGGTTGCGACTAGCGCGTACAACTGTCCAGACTCCGACCGTTTTGGGTGAGAGACCATGAAAGACCTAGACCATGATTGACATCCATTCTGGCAGTGATAGTGCCTTTTTGGCCAGGGTGTTCTGGGTCTATCGATCCAAAAGAGCCCTGGACTCCTGACTCCTGGCACTCCTGGACCCCAAAGCCCCACAACTGGCTATTTGCCACCTCTCAGGTCAGCGAACGAGCACACAGAGTTGATTAAGGGTACGCCCTGGTTGCGCTTTTGGCAGCGGCTGCCACACCCGCTCAGTGCTGATAAGAAGAAGCGGGGTGTCGATGTGGAATTGCGAAGCGCTTGGCACTTAGTAGTTTCAGAAGAGGTAGCACTTAAAGAAACCGGGACAAGATAAGAAGACACTTCCTCTTCTGCTGGCTCTGCACTTTGAACGAGTGCAATTTATTCATAATTAGCCAGTGCAAAACTTGAGTACTCAGCCGCAAAAAGGGACAAATCCTCCCCCGCTGAAGTGGTCCAAGGTCGACACTATATTGGATTTTCTGGATGAACAGGAGCCAGTGACCCTCACATAAGCCTTACGGCAAGTTCAGATTTGCATCAGGTGTGTGAGCCTTTGTTCAAACTGATTCCGTGGGTTCATGAACAACAAACATGAGGAACCATGCACAGCGAAGACAGCTCTTGCGTCAGGAGCTTGCAATTCAGGAGTTGGAGGAGCAACTTTGCTCATGACTCATGAAGACAGTCTCAGCTCGCCGCACATACATGCTTTTCTGATCTCGTCAAATATCTCGTCTTCAAATGGGTATGGCTCCAAAGTGGATACCTCATGAAACATGAAGTTGGTAGAAAACTCCTGACCTACATTGTCATTATAGCTACTATGTCTTGATTGTGACGGAGTGCAGGAGCGCTCCCCTTCCGAAGAGCTTTGAGAGCGCCAAAGTGTGCTTGGACAAATGAGAAAAGGAGCAGAGCTTTTCAGCCGCGGGAGAGTCGAGTTTGATCAAGTCATGCGATTCGATGCGATTCGATGCGATCTAGCTAGCTGGCTTCAACCTTTCGCGTGTCGGAGGGTTTCGGGCAATGTTTCGCGGAGTGCATCGCAAAGTGTTTTTGCAGTGTGTCTTTCGCTGGCAGCTTCGGATCGGATCCGGCGCTTGACGTTCCCCCTTCACCGGAAATACACCGGTCCATTAGGGCCGGGCGGCCAATCCAGATGGGTGGCCGCGCCCCACCGATCCAGCGCCTTGAGCCATGCGAAGCTCGAAATTCGTCCAAGCATGGTCCGGCTTTGACAAACTGGGCGCAGCCGGCATCAACTGTCCTGAGTAGGCTACCTGATAGTCTGTGTAGCCTTCCCGTCGCCTCCAATGTAACTTCGCGTTAGCATTTAGCACAGATGCTCAGCAGCCAATTTTGTTGCCCTAGTCTTCAAGCATGTTCTGTTCGAATGGAAATCAAGGCAGTCGCAACCCCGGAGTCCAGTGTATCATTTAGAATTCCAAGCTCGTCGAGTTCGAGTTTCCGTGCATTCCCATGCAGCTCATCCACCATCAGGTTCTGATCTTGCCCCGTGCGTTTGGAGTCTCCCTTGCCCCTCTGAAGTTTCCTGTGCTCGGCGAAGAACCTCAGGTGCGAGTGTGCCTCCCTCTTCAAACTTGACAAAAAGTCACGCAAGAGAATTCGTCTCTTCGTTGTCAAGGCTTAGTGGTGGCCTGTGATCTCTCAGCCGCGTGATTCAATCTCTGCGCACGTGACACGAGGCCCGGGTAAATATACCTTTCCCCTGCATGTCTGAATGCTGGCAGGCCGCTTTATCACTCCAATGCTTTTGTGGCTGCCGCTGGTAGAGAAACACGATGGTGGGATTCGGTGGGCTTAGGTGTGCGTTACGCGCTGGTACAGTGGGGGAACAGTTGGTGGTTGCGCGCAGTGGCAGGCCTGAGCAGTTAGGTGATGTTAGGTGTGTGGTAGGTGGCCTGAGTGGTGCGTGGTAGGCAGTCCATAAGACCGCTGAGGGTTGCACGTCGGATTGGCAGGGTTCTCTCCTGGCTTCGGGTTCAGCGGAGGGTTGCAAATTGCGCTTGTACATTGTAGCTTGAGTGCCTTTGCGTGCTCCTATTGGTCGTGTGGTGAAAGAGGGGATACAATGTAGAGGTATTTGTCCCCTCCCGTCCACCTGGAACAGATCTGCAAAAATTCAAGGGAGCAAACGTCTCAGCAGACGAACGAAAAATGCAACTCCTTTTGGCGTCATGTCCTTAGCTGGTACCGTCGTCTCGCCAGGCTTGTAAAATTGAGCTTACACGATGACATGATGCATGTGTTTTGCCGTTTTGCCTGTGAAACCGTGAGACCTCAAACTTCACAAACTCAGCGTCAACAATGCCCATGGGCACTCTTACAAGGTAAGAAACATAGAGCCAGGAAAGAACTGTGGCAGAAGAGGTCGTTGAGATTAACTTTACATCCAATAACGAAACAGAAAGCCCAAGCGGCGTGATCCAAGAATATGGCGGAGGGGTTTTGGCGGACTCAGGTAATTGGGGGCCACACGCACCCTGTAATTCCAGGACAAATACAACACACATTTTCCAGCGCACCAAAGCACCCCAGCCCAACTTTGTGCACGGCTTGCAGAAGATAGGGGAAACCAGCACCACAAATCATATCCTCCAACGTAGATGATGACTTTGCCACGAAACAGCTTGTGTTTTGTCAGCAAAGTTAATGCTGTTAATTGGACGGCTGTTGTTGAGTTATCGTGTCTCGCGGCCAGGGTTCTGAAATCTGGCCTGTCCAAAAAATGCGCGGCCGACGAAGTTTGAACACAACGTGATAAGGCGCCGGGGGTCAAGGTCGTGATGCACAAGAGTTGCACAGCCCGTATGGTACCACATCGCAAAACCTCACTCCCACACAAAAAGAAGTTGTGAAGGTCACGAAGCTACGAGAAGCCGCCAAGTCCTCCTTCGCAAGACCCCCTTCGCCAGGCTTCCTTCGCGAGGCCTCCTTTTCTAGTTTCCCTTGCGAGTCCGATTGACCCAGCCTTGGATGTACGGGGGGCCAGGGTGGGGTTTAGATTTGCCTGTTCCCAAGATTGCCCTCACTAGACCTTTTTGGGTGGTCCTTCTGCAAGACCACCTTCGCAAGTGCCATTCACGAGAGCTTCTATGAGACCCCCCTCCGCAGCGCCACAGCGCCACACCCTGCACAGTGCCCGCAGCGCCAACAGCGCCAACGGCCCGGCTCGCAGTGTCACAGTGCCGCAGTACCAGTCGTATTCGTCCCGGGTTTCCAACCCCTCTGTAAAACAGACAGCGGGCACTTGTCACCTGAACGGAAACCCATGTCCTCCTCCGTCAGCAGAATGAGAATGGCAAGATCACGCAGCGTCTTCGTGAATAATCTGCCTCAGTCAGGGAAATTATTTGGAGATGTCCTTGATTCTCACTGTGTGTTTCCACGGAAGTATCCGCGAAGCAAGTCCCTGAAGGCAATGGCAGCCTTCCAATAACTCTCCAACGTTACCATCGTTTCTGAGGCGAATGTGGCTGGCAGGAACCCTGGTCCCAAGGCTTTTGGGCCGTGGTTGCATGATCTGGTTTTATGTTTTTGTTATTTAATGTATGCTGCACTGACTGGTGCCTAACTAATGCGGTACTGTTGCAGGTGGCCGGGTGGTCGCTTTCCAAATTCGCACCCGCCCGACAAAAACTGCACATAATTGCGCACTTGATTTTGGAGGAGATTTCCGTGTGTTCTAATGTGCCGTGGCACCGGCCACCGCCACCCCTACCCTACCTCCGAGCCTTTGTTGTTTTAATGCGCTCAGTCTCATGGTCGAAAAAATAGAGTTGAACCAGCTGTGGTCTGGAGCAGGCAGCCATATTTAGTGAGCCGGGCACCATCGCAGCGCAGCGCCAAGACATGTGACCAACGCAGCGGTGGGTCACGTTGTCAAAGCTGCGTGAAAGACGGGCGAGAATGTCTCACGTTTAGGTGTGCGGCCCGTGGCAAATTTCCGGCCACCCATGCTTACTCCTGGAGCTCGGGTTATTTCTGTTTGCGGCCTATTCATTCCATTGTTTCAGTGCCACTTATCCATGAAGCCCAGGCATCCCCCACAACTGGGTTTCTAAAAAAGGGTATCATTTGCCACTAGAAAATGCCTTTTTGTAGCCTTTTATAGAGAGGGTAGTTGTTGGTAGTTTTAGAAGACATGGACATGCATTTTATAGATGCGGTTTTGGGACTGTATGTGGGTACCTTACCTAGTGATCTCTTTTCAAGGCATTTTCTAGAGGAACATGTTTGTACCTCTCGGATTGGGAACATGTCGGGTTGGGGATGTGGTTGGTCATTTTAAAGGCTTGGTGCCTTGAGACTAGGTGGCTCTGGCAAAGCATTTTATAGAGAATGTGGTTTGGGAGATCATGTCACAGCGGGAATCTCGCATAGCGGGAGTCAGGAAAATATGTTTTCAAACTATCCGCCAAACAGACTCCAAACATTAATGGAAGAAAGGAACTGAAGGAATTAGACCAGGAAAATAGTTAACAATAATTAATTAACTAGTTTTTTTGTGCGGCTTTTCTCCCTGTCTCTGTGTCTATTCCCGTAACGGGGAGACACAGGCGCCCAAAAATGCAACCGGGAGCGGGTTCCAAGAGACCGAAAGCGGCAGGGTGCACCGGTCTCCCCGTTCAGGGACGCCGGGAATCTCTTGGAGCCGGCTCCCGGTCGCATTCTGACCCGCCACCGGGGCCCCTCCCGTCCCTCAATGCGGACCGGGGCGGGGTGTTCCAGGACATCTCGGAGTTCCCTGTTATACTATAGACTATAGTAGTGGCCTAGCACTTAGAATATTAGTCATTTTATTTTTAATTCCAAATAATTCACTGGAAGGTCCCGGGGGAGCACTTGTTCATATTTATTCTAACTGTGCTGCAGATAGAATTGCCGCCTGCAGATAGAATAAGTATGACTGCAGCCGTGAGCACCCAAACATGTCCAAACTGCAGCCGTGAACTGCTCAGCGCATAGAATATTGTGGCCCATATCTATTCTAACTGCATTGGCTCTCACCCCCGTGACCTCAAAAATAAGGGTATTCTAACGGCATACTCATTAAAGTCGAATATTCTATGTGCTGAGCCACCGGTATATGGTTATTTTTCTTTTGGGTCCAATATTGTAATTTTTTAGAGAAAACGTGTTTCCCAACATCTTATACACATTCATCTGGATGTTCATTTTATAGGTGCCTCTTCTTTCCGCTTCTCGGATGTCGCGCTTGTGCGTTTTTATGCATGTTCTTCCATTGGTTCTTGGCCACAGCTGGATTTGTCTAGGTATTTTTTTATATAGACACCTTTGCCTATCAGTTTCTAGAGATTCTATCTCTTGCCTCTCACCCTTTAAAGGCCAGCGCTCCAAATAATGACCAGCAAAGCGCCCAGCGGTCCACCCACGGGGGCTACCCAAAAAACTGCAAAAGTTTGCGGCCCAGGTCTATGCAACAAACTTTGTTGATTTAACTTTAGCAGTTTAAAGGTGGCAGTCGCCCAAACCGATGCCCAAACCCATGTAACAGTGCCCGGTGAAAAAGGAGAGCGTTGGGAAGTTGCAGGTTTGTGGAAGATTTTTTGAAGTCTCAGCAGCCTTAACTAAGTTGGTTGATTAGGATTGCGAAGACGAGTAGTCAACTGTGTTTCAAAATCGAAATTAATGCAGTTTTTGGACCGGTTGTTTCATAACTTATAGTTCAAGCGTGTTTTTTTTTTTAAATTTCTACTTTTTTATAATTGTAACGTATGGGGCATGCAACCCAATGTTGGTATAGCAACCAATTGTCATTTATTCAAATTTATTCATTTATCATAGTTTATCAACTTGTCAACGTGCCTACCACCTTATTTATAAACGACCTACCCAAGTACGGTGTAGAGCATTATCGTTGTTGG